CCAGCGCCGCAAGATCCTGGCGTTTTTCAGGGGCAAGATGGAGATCCACCCCAAGAACGTTAGCGGCCACATGTACAGCAGGTACTTTTTTCCTCTTGTCTTTCACTGTCCGGATTGAAAACCAACTTTGTCGTGGGTGATTTTAATGCAGGGGCGTGAGAACCACAATCTGGCGACGCTTCTCGCACGACCGGCGCTTCTTCATAAAGCGCAAGAGGTCCGACAACTACAAGGCGGAGATGCTGCGCTCGGTGTTCTGCCTGTGCCCGCTGGGGTGGGCGCCGTGGAGCCCGCGCATCGTGGAGTCGGTGATCCAGGGCTGCATCCCGGTGATCATCGCGGACAACATCCAGCTCCCCTACTCGCACGTCATCGACTGGAGGAAGATCTCGGTCACGGTGGCGGAGAGGGACGTGCACAAGCTGGACAGGATCCTGAGCAGGGTGGCGGCCACCAATGTGTCCATGATCCAGGCCAATCTCTGGAGAGACGAGGTGCGCCAGGCGTTGGTATACAACCAGCCGCTCGTTCGTGGCGACGCGACGTGGCAAGTTCTAGATCTCCTGTCCAAGAGGAAGAACAAGGTGGCGGAGGCGGGGTCCCGGATAAAAGTGGCGTGAGTGGACAAAGTTTGGAAGGAATCGGATTCTTTTTTTTTTTTTTTTTTTCTTACTTACAAGCAGGGATGGAAGAGAAACAAGGAAAACGAGGCAAGCTCGTGTCGTCTTGTTTACTCGCTGTGTGTGTGTGTATATTTTGGCCAGTTACATTCATTATACCAGAAATTCTTTTGTCTCAAAGTGTACATGCTTTGATAATATGATCACATGTTGTGAAGCTCCCTCCAACCATAACGCTTCATCTCCTCGCCCAGTTTTATTTCTATCTGAGACGCTTGGGTGGAGCTCCCAGAGTTCTCCTGGGGGTTACCGGCAGCGTTGGGGCGGTCAAGGTTGCGACGCTGGCGCATAGCCTGTGTTGCTGGGCCGAGGTGAAGATCTCCGGCAGTGGGCCGATGCCATGCTCATCGCGCCACATTCCATGGCCAAGGTGAAACATAGACACCATCTTCACTGTTTGTTACTAACACAATGCTACCATGATAGATCGCGTATGGACTGACGTGAGGGTCCTGCAAAGCATCGGGCTGGTCGTGGTGCTCGGAGAGGACGGTGCCATGGCAGAGGTCTCAACCCTGGACGCCATCCTGACATGCTATCTCCTCGATAAAAGGTGATGAAACTTTGTTTCAGAAGTTGATCACATTGACTTTGTTTCTAGACTCGTACAAAATGTGTCTGTTAGTGATCATATTCGTTGTAAAGTTCCGTTTTGTACAAAACTGCAAAACGAGAGGAACTGTGACATCTTTCCTCTGCAGGAGTGTCATGGTGATATGGTCGATGTTTCATTCACCGAGTTTCTTCCGGCCCGCAAGGATCCGAGAGATCTGGAGGCCCCGGCTAAAGGCCTGGTTGAAGAGTAGCCGCGTCTGGAACTCGGACACGAATGGGAACCACGCCAGGATCGCAACGGGCGTGAAGATGAGCAGCCCCATGAAGAACTCATAGCTCCGTGCCAGGGCCCTGACGGAGCCCCAGAAGCCCATCGATTCCACCAGTGGCCGGCACGCCATTCCTATCTGCGGAGAACAAAAGCAAAAGAGAGAGTTAATCAAAGCGTCAGTAAGAAAAAGGCTGCCAGTTTGCTGGTGGAAGTTTGGTAAGGAAAAGAGGAAGAGTCTGGTGTCGATAGCTTTACCTGCAAGAGGGCCCAACCAGTTGGGAGGAACGCGAGTAGCGTGACAAAGAGATCTCCGACCGTCAGGCCAACCACCACGAAGAGTATGATGATTATCGAAACAAATCCCATGAAGAGCATCCCCTTTAAGAGCCGGAACATGAGTTGGAAGTCACCACTGAAGCGTCTTCGTCCCATCGACACGATCTACAAAAAATTACAAAATGGCATAAGTTTCTTGTATCGAAAGAATACTCGCTGGTTACCTTTAAAACGATCAAAATGCCGATTATCACAAGCCACGACAGAGCGTATATCTGCAAGCAGACACGCAACGCTATAAAATAAGCATCAACAGAATGGACTTACCAGAATGTTCTTGTGACCGCTGGTGATGTTGAGGTGGTAGACGAGGCCATACTGATACAGAAAGAAGCGTATCGCCAAGAGAGATTCCATGATTCTACCACGCAAGCCTGTGTGGTTGAGATAGGAATGCTCCTCGTCCCACCAGGACTGCCAGCTCTTCACCGCGGCAATTCCTATTCCTCCCGAGTTAGCAATCCACCTGTTCCAGTCGTCCCAGTCTTCCACGATCTTTTGCCACTCGAAACCTGACGGATTGAACAGAAAGGGAGCGAATAGCCAGGTGACCACCAGGAACCACATAGAAGCCGTGATGAACATATAAGCGACCGCACCATTCCCGGACGAACCATAAGCTACGTAGACAATCAGCAGGATCATGAGTTCCAACGCTTTGGTGAAGTGGCTTCTCGAATATAACCGATAATTCTCAGCAAATCTTTCATGACGAACGACGAAGCCTCGGCCGGTAGCTCTGTACTTTGCCCCTCCGTGCAGTATCGTTCTACCGAAATAGTGAACCTTGGTGCCGAGAGAAAAGGTAAAGAAAACGGAAGCCAGTTGAAGCTGCATTATGATGAAGTCGCTGATTGCTGTACGAAAGCCCCTCTCAAGACCGATCTCCATGATCATTGGAAGTGCCATCAATAATCCAAGCTGAACCAACGATTGGGAGGCCAAGGCAGCTTGCAGGCTCACGTCTTTCTTCATGTTTGCAACTTTTAACAGCGACTTCTCCATGCCACTTAATGATAGATACAGCCGTCCGTAGAGAAAAACATAGACTGTGAGCACCACGATCTGCACAAAGTATCTTTAGAATGATGGAAGCAGAACAAACCAGTTTCATACCAGGGCGTTGACGTAGAAACCAACTGTTGTAAAATAGCAGGACATCATGCGGAAAAAATCAAAACGATGGCCGAGTCGATAGATATCTCTACTCAAAGTCTGTTCACCATTCCCGTTTGCTACTTTTGCCTCAAAAAGTGTTATTTGGTTCAGTCCAACATCACGGCCCTTCCCGACCTGTATGTATTCGTGATGTGTTACATTTCCTCGTCGCAAAGTTGAATTGAACCCTGCAGTACTCACTTATCTAGTGATGTAACCTTAGAACATTAAGTTTACCAGCAAAAATATCTTCGCTCAGATTGATAACTTTTGAAGCTTTGCTGATGCCACCTCTTGTTATGTGAAAGAGTCTGTCGAATACATCTGGATGTCCGTAATGGAACCGCACCCTGAAAGACAAAAAAAACATATTAATACAGAAGATTCTGCTGTTAATGGACTTACTTTAATGGATTCGCAAGCACCCGCTGCCCGATAGTGACAAAACTTGTTTCTTGGTTCGACATAAACCACGCCAGGGAAGAAACACTGATAGCAATGACTCAGAACCAGACAATTTTGAATCAGATCAGTTACCTTCCCGTAAAAATATGTTCCCTCACACCAAGAATACTAGGAGGCCTCACCCCGTGATCTTCATGAAATTCTTCCAAAAGATTTCGCATCTTGAATGCTTCCTCCAAGTAGTTATCCTAAACCAAAAAGATTAAACATCTGGTTTTAATAATTTGACCTTACCTGGTTCATATCAATCGTCTGAAGAGCCTCGCCTCGCGTAAAAATAATTGCATGATTTTGATTTTCCGGTTTTCCCTCCCCTAGTTTAGCTGGACCTGGTAACTTTATCCTGTATATTTCCTGAGAGCCACAATACATGAGCAGATGACAAACAAGAGGAGTCCAAGTCCGCATACCTGATCAAGCCCGTCGACAGCCTTTACCAAGACAGAGTAGTATACTTTCTTGCTTTTATTGTCTTTCTGCGTCTCCTCAACTTCATCAATATATGCAACGCGAAGTGATGGATGCCTACATTTCGAGCAAGCAAGGTTATCTTACATGTGAGATCATAAATTAAAAACTTCTTACTTCAGCATAAGGTTCAATATATCTGTTGCTCGCTGATCACCTGAGCGCTTTTGAAGTCCATAAATCTGACAAGTAGCAGCAGACCCCAGTTCATCCAGTTTTTACGAAGCTGCACTGCCGTCTTTCCCTTTTTTTTTTATCCTTTTT